AAATCTCATTTGTACAGTGGTTATCTGTTAGAACCTGACTTTTTAAGTCCTGCTTTAAAGTCCTTTACATCAAGAAAATGGTTTATATTTTAACACACATCTATTAGTTAATAGATTAATTATAATCAAATAAAAAGCAATCTTAACGAGGTAAAACCATAGTTAGGATCCCACAATCAACATCTTATTTTTCGTCACAAAGCTTAATATAAGAGATGTGTTTATCCTTAGATCCTTAATATTTTTATACTTTCAAATTTGATTTTGGCTGCTTTTAAGCACTTTGTGGACTAGAGAGAAAATAAATGTTTTGAAAGTTTATAAATGAAAATAATGAGAAAAGCTTTAGATAGCCGTTATTTAGATAAAAGTTTTATTGCTTTCTCCCGCTTTCACATAATATCATATATCTCAGAACACCATTTTTAAAATATGCAGCGAATCTCCCAAATCTCAAATCTGTAACTAACACAGTAGTCTGTTAAAATATTTTTCGGTCCCTGATTTAATTTTTTAGTTATAAGATATATGTCAAAATTGTAATCTCAACGTTAGGTCCATAAAACGTCCAAATGGAGTTAAAAACAAAAAATTTCCAAAACATAGTTATTAGTAGTGTAATAACTTATTTCATTACAGTTTAGCGTGACAAGCATTTAAATATGTACATTTTTTAAATATATGTGACTACGTTTTGTTCGAAAAATCGTAGGACAAAAGTTTTCTATCCTAAGCTGTTTTATTTGATAATTACATATTTGTTAATTGTTATGTCATTCCCTGCAAATTTGGCGCAAAAATTAAACAACTTGGACAACGGCCACAAAGGCTCCAATTCTGTAAATTTACACTTAACGTGGTTATTTGCTAACATGTTGAGATTGATTTAGTGAATTTCTAAGCTACCATCAATCGAAGATTAACATTATTCGCAGGCAACACATGTGAAGGCTAATTTGAGCCACTGTTAAGAGATTTGGCCAGCATTGTTCAGGAAATTAATTAAGGCAAACCGAAAAGCTAGTCAAGCACACGCATTTGGACGCGGGGAAATAGCACACAGTGAATGGAGAGGTACGGAAATCCCATTATTTGGACCCGAAAAGCGAGCACAGCTGCATACTAATAAGCTGCCATGGGGACTCGTGTGTGTGGGGTTCACCTGCTGCTCCCTTCTTTTCCCAGCCTCCTGATCCTTTGGTCAGACACCTGCCACGCCCACAATTCGGGGCTGGGAAAGGCTGTCAAGCGGACTTCGGTACGAGCATTATGACGGCATTTACACATCAGCTTCGGCCTCCGCTGGGTCAGCATTCGAGGATTAGGAGGAGCCCCAAGGTCCAAGGACTGGGGACACGCACTCAAGACTCGAGCTTTTAAGCCGCTGCCAAGCCCTTTATGTTCCTACATCCACGGCTAGACATTTCTCTTAAAGGATAGATCAATTAATGTAAGGATTTCAGATACTGGTTCAAATATATCACAATATCATCTGTTTTTTGTATTTAATTTTTATTTTGGCGAAAGGTAAAATTACAGTTTATTATTATAATGGTAGTATTTCGGAGGCCTATAGGTCTAATGCCTTTAAAGTATATTGTAAGTAACACATTTCACTTTTAAAATATTTTTAGAAATATTTTCAATTCTCAATTAATCTCAACACAATCTCCAAGCTAATCAAATCAATATAAAAAGGTTAATTTCTAAAAATTAAATCTCGTCCAACCTAGTAAACAAAACAATTAAGGAATTCAATTTGCCGACAAGTGTGTTAAAAAAAAACCTAAGTGTCCCTATTTCCCGCAGTGCTCAAACTCACTGGACCAACTGAATTGACCCCACTCTTACTAGACATTCTTGTGGAGGCTTTAAAATGTTTGTCCCTGGTATGCAAATAAATCCAAGTCGTGGCCAAAAACTCAATTTCGGGCAGCTAGTTCAGCAGCTGTCTCTCCCGTTCTAAGCCCTTTTTTGGGCACGAACATATGGCGACAAACAGCGGGCACCGTTTTCTATTTGTGCCTGCAAGCACGCAGAGAAAGGCGAACAGGATGCCAAGGACAAAGGACGAGAGTCGAAGGACGAAGCTGCTGAGCATGCGGGTGCATTTTGTGAATGTATGACAGCGCTGAATTGCGCTGGGGCAAAACAAAATATTTTGAAAAGCAAGACGAAAGTAGACATACACTTGAAATGAATTGAATAGCATTTTTTTTAAACTGTAAAACGATTATATTACAACTATTATATTTAACAATAGATACTTCGGAAAGCAAGTTTATTTAAAAATATTATTTGAAAATATTTTACTAAAAATAAAAAAAAGAAAGAAAACAGCCAGAATTCCTTGAGCTATAATATTTAAATTACCTTTATTTGAAAGCTCAAAAGTCAAGCTTTCTAACGTTATATAACATTTTTGGTTTTATGACCAAATGGCATTTTTAAAATAAAATAAATTCATTGCTTTTTGAGCTTATATTTAACAAAAAGGAAGCAATTTTCGGCCAGCTAAACTTTATATACCCTTGCAGCTTTTAAAAAAATTTGGTTTCCTATAAAACGAATAATCTTCGAATTGTGTGCGCAAATGTTTAGAAACAATGAAGCTAGGTCGACATTCAAATACATTTTTATGGATATAATATAGACATGTGATTTTAAAAATTAGATATTACGATAAACCGGTCGAAAGGTATTAGTATACTAAGACTTGCATACTAAGACTTTAAGAAAATCAATTGGAAATATCGGTGAAAGTGTAAAAATAGTTTTAAAAATTTGATCTGTTGTTCTTGTTCCATTTATTTTTTATTTACAAAAATGTAATCCAAAAATGTCATATAGGGACAATTCTGGTCATTGTTTTGGGGAACTTTAACAGTAGTTAAAACCAAAACTTATGATATCAGAAAGAAACACTTCTGAACGAGGAATGAAAAAATGAAAAAATATCTAAACAAGTTTAAGCAGTCTAATAACGCACACTACGTGAGAAAGCAGCGATTCTGAATTTCTAAGAGTTTGAGAGTGAAAATTCTACGAAAAAAAAGAACGAATTTTCCACCTAGAAAATCTCACCCCCAATTTTTTTTGGCTGGTTGTGGCCTGAAATTCGCTTTTCTGCACACTGCACACGCTTTTCTGCATTGGGATAGGTCCCGGAATCAGGAAAGGGATGGCAGTTCGGAGTTTTCCCAGTTTTTGGCTGCGTTGTCTGTTTGCACGCTCTAAATGGATTTCGCTTGTCCTGTTCTCCAATTTCGTCCGTGGTTTATTTTTCTGCGACGCGGAAATGGGAAATGTGTTCATTTGCATGTGCCACATGTGTCCTAAAGCTGTGTTCGCAAAAAATGCAATAAAACGCTCGCCAAACTGGTGTTAATTCGCAAATTCAATTGTCAAATTAATGGCAAATAAATTGAATACTTTTAACGTCACAGATGTCAATGAAGAACCGCCCAATAAACCAGAATCACCTAAAGTACGACCTAAAGTCACGTCCTATTACAATATATATGTTTAATTGAAGATGCCTGAACACTGACAGAAGTCAACGAGGTGGCCAGTAAGTACTCTGTAAAATAAAGGTGATAAATTCCTTATAAATGTGGAAGAAACTAAATGCATATACCCCTGTAATTCCTAATTATATCAATTTAGATAATGTTCCTGAAACAGTCGAGGAATAAAAATTAACTAGTTTCTATTTACAGAATAATCAAATTTTGGAAGCATAAGCCTTAAAATCAAATGGGTGAAGTTTGATTAAGAAATTAAACAATGCCCTGATTAATGTGGCAATCAACCAAAATATTGCTAAACTACAGGATAATGATAATAAATCAAAACCTTTACCTAGAAGCATTTTTTTCGAGTGTGGAGAGGCGGAGAGCGAAAACCGGAAAACCGTACGGATATTTCTGGTCTGGTCAAATTTCTGGTCAGTCGCATAGTGTTGGCAGAATTTGCGGTCACTTGATAGAAAGTATATGTACATTGGTTCTTCCCTTTGCCACCCGCCACAAAAGGGTCTGAAATGAACGATGGCCAGTATAGGGTTAAGTGGGCGAGCGAGGAAGGGCGAAAATGTCCGCAAGTTCGTCAACATGGGCAAATATTTGCAGATATCCAAACGATGTCGCACGTCGCTTGCTGTTGCTGTTGTTGTTGCTGCTGCTGTTGCTGCTGCTGTTGCTGTTGCTGTTGCTGCTGCTGTTGCTGCTGCTGTGGATGTTGATTGTTGGTCAAGTGACCAAAAGCCAACAATTGGTCACGATCACTTTGCCTTTATTGTTTTCGTTACTATTGCCCAGTTCCTCCTGCTTTTATTGGTTTCTCCCGGGCGCTGTCTCTCCTTTGTTTTCGCACTTGCGGCAGTTCGTGTTGCTGATTTGACGTGACTAATGGGTCGTTAGGCATATGTCCACTCAGCTGGAGGGGCAAACAGGTGGACAGGGCGGGAAATGGGGTGGGGGACTAGCTCGGAATGAATTTTCCCCTTGTCCGCTTCTTAACAAGTTACAAATTGCGTAGCTCGCTTCGCTGCCTGTTCGCATGGCAAATGGCAATGGTGCAGAACTCAAGTTGATTACAATGCAAGCATTCACCGAGATCAAGGATGTAGGACTTGGATCCATTAAAGTGCAGCCCATACATTTAATGCGAAAATTTAGGGAAATTTAGCAAAAAAAAAGAAAAGATTTCAGCCAAATATTCTCAGAATATTCAATCTATTAATAGCAAAGGATAAGGAAAAACATTTACTTAAAATAATATTTCTTATATTAAATTCTAATGGAGAACAGCAAAAATAGCTATTATTTTAATTTTATAGACAAAATGAGTACTAAAATAATACATATTTTATTGTCTGAGCTGACCGAGTTTAATTCTTAGATATATTGCCTCAATTCGGTTGAATGCTTGCCAAATTAGGAAGCAATCCGATAACTATCTGGAAATTTGAATGGTTCTTTGGCTTACCATATCCACCATCAAATCATTGGGCATTCCCCAAAATCAATCTCGAAAATGTCACTGCCAGAACTCACCTGCAAAGAGATGCAAAAAATGCGATAAGAATTAGTCAAATATTTGGCATAAATCACCGACAAACACTCGGTGGAGCAAACAAACAAATCGCAACAGCATTCCGATCGAGGGAGACATAATCAACAGCCCTATCCATCACCATTAGCATCACCTTTGTCATTTCCATGCCCCGGCCGAGATTAGCTACGAAAATTTGGCATCTGTCTGTGGCTTTTCTTTATCTATTTTTTATTTGCATATGACATCATCAAAGTGGCAACGGCAGCCAAAGATTTGCGCAAAGCAAACAAACGCCCGAGCGGAATGCAAAGCCCACAAAAGCGGAGCCAGACCGAAAATCTTGTACCAGCCACCGCCTGTCAAATGATTTGCAACTTTGTGCAAATTCGCCTGCCAGTCGACCCCCGCCCTCTGCTATTTTCCCCGGCCCTCGGCAATTATTAGTTGCCAACCGCCGTCTGTCTGGCAACCGCGAAGCACACTCGAGCCACGTAGAGCAGGGATTTTAACTAGAAGACGAAGACCAAGACCGACACTACGGACTTGCGACCAGAGACCACGGAGTGCAGACTGCCAGGCAGTTGCAACTTGCCCGCGGTGGACACGAAAACCACGACCGATCACAAAAAGAAGGAAAAAACTCGCCTCGAATTTGGAGATTTAAATACCCTGTTAGACATACAAAATACACAATAGTTTTCAGAAACTTCTTTATTGCATGTCTTTGCAAAAAAACTCTTTGAAATCCACATAATTTGCAAGTTAAATAAAAATTAAAGCCAAACACACTCATATTTATCTTTTGAATTGAAGAAAACACTTCACCAGCCTGAAGAACCCTCTGTTAGAGTATGGAAAAAATGATTTTGATGACTCCGAGATTTGTTTGCCATCGACTCTAGAATCCATTTACCCGCCTCCCGCTGCACAGCACCCATTTCTGGTTGATTTGCTGGCGATTTGGACGTTGATGAAGTGATTAACCAAGACAGTCAGCAGGCATTTGGCTTTTTGATAGCGTTTAGTTTATGAGCTGACCTCGAGGGGCTTGGCTCAATGTTCCAGCTATCTGCGATTTGCGGTCGGTGAAGCGCACTCCGTTGAGCAGCAGGTGCAGAGCACCACCGGTGGGATGGTCGATGGAAGGAGGGAGATGTGATGAGGATGGCCAGCGAAGGTAGCTGGTTAGATACGGATGCAGTATGCAAATTGGGTAGCTTAAATGACTGATGAAAGACACATTAATTCATGGACAGCAGTTCTAGCAGTCCACTGCGTGTCCTCACATTGAAGACCATACTTTGGGTTGCGGTACTCAAATAACTAAGAAAAGGTCCCAAATTAATTCTTTAACAAGCTTGTAATTTATAAAGATTTTCTTAACATTCAAACACTTGTTATTTATGAAAAAACTAAATATATTACATTTTTACAAAATACTTAAATACAAAAATATATATTCAAACATTTTAGTAGTTACGCAACATAATTTATGAATCACTAAAACAAACATCTCTTTATTATATTTCTTATCTTGCACAATATACACCTCAATCTAAATTCACTGCCCACTCAATATGCGTTTAATTATTTTTAGACCCCATGATAACCTTGACTTTGTTCCGTTGATTTGCCTTCTTCGCCAGACATAAATTTTTGGAAACTTAAAATTAAATCAAAGGCAATAAATTCAAATGGGATTAGCATGGGATAGCTGTTTAAAAATACTCAAATGTTCTGTTTTACGGTATTGTAAAGCTCTAAAGCCTCTTTGAGTCCCGCAACAAATCGAGTTTTTTGGGTTTTTTTATTGAAAGCGAAAGTGTTAAAGTGTTTGTCAGTTAAAGCCCCGCCCGTCTGGAAAGGCGACTATAAGCCCTGGTACATATATAAAACACCTTTTGAGTGCGAAGTTAATGTTCGTGAGTCTCGTTTGAAGACTTCACGAGTGCTTTGTTCCCAATCGGAGTCCAATAAAATGGAAATAAAATTGTGTAATAAAAGGAAATCGTTTATAAATGCTGAAAATGAAATATTGATGAAACGCACTAAAGCACTGTCCGCATGTCAAGCAAACAAGCTGAAGAAACTGAAGAAACCGACACCGAATCTCGTTTCTCATGCATAATGCAAACAGAGTGCAACTGGAGACATTGGAAATTTCTAACATTTAACGAAGACGAAAAGAGAGAAAAAATGAATCATATAGGGGACATCAGGGGTCTGCTACTGGGCTTTTCAAAATGCCAATCGAATCAATTTAGATTTATTGTTGCTGGCCTGGCATTGGCATTCAATTTGCCGTCTTCCCTGTCTTTCAACAATTCGAATGTCATAAATTGTGTTGCGCCTGCAAAAAAGATTTACGTGGTGTCAAGCGCACACAAAGGTTTAATGTCCAGCCACAAGTTGTGATTCCAACACCGATCTATCAAATTCCGAAATCAACCAGAAATTAAGTTATAATCATTATCATTGTTAACCGCGGACATTAATTAAATTGCATTCAAATGCAGATTTTTGTCAACCCGCCAAATGCCAGAAAGAGAGACCGCCCATTATGAATTTAGAGCCGCATTATTTAATATGCCATATTCAATAAGCGACTCTGAGTGCAGTGGATTCCACTCTTGACATGGCCAAAAATTATGCTTATTGATTTAGCTGTCAAAAAGTGCATGTCAATTTTTTGGGTTTCTTTTGGGAACTTTTGTTTTTTATGTGCCACTCGCTGGCACACAGACAACTTTTGTAATAGCAAAAGTCGAGATTAACAGTGGTCTCGAATGCGCTTGAATACAATACTCGGATATTAGTCACTGTACAAATTTGTCATCAATTTAAAGAGACAGCTTAACTGAATTTTGGCACTGTACTGAAGCAGATCATTTATATACCCTAACCATCCAACAAGAACAAAATGGTTAGGCTATTATAATATTAATCTAAAATATGATCCCAGGTTTTTATATTTAAAATCTTTTTGTCAAGTGCATTTCAATCGATTTGAAATAGAAAACATTCTAATTACTTTCTTACTTATTAGATAAAAATAGTAAGAATTAAAATTTTTTTGATCCATACCACTGTGCATTCAACGATGGTGACACTTGTCAGTGATACACACACACACACCTTAAGCACCTTTTGGTGGGTGTGTTCTCGTTGGCCGGAGTTTTTCTGTTGCCTTGGCTCTGTAATCGCGGCTCTTATACTTTATACATGTGTGTAATGGGTTTGCAATTTGAAGCGAATTTTTGACACACATAACAAACATATACCAGGCCCAGCCGCACACAGATACTAACACACACCCTCACACGGATGAAGGGACCCCAGAGTGGCATGACTGACTCAAAAGATTTATGTTAAATTTTTAATGACCAGCCGGCCAATGCATCAACATCAATATATACTTTGAATGAAGACATTTGCCTTTGACCTTTTCTGGCTCAGTTTGCGAGTGTGTGTGCGTGGGAGAGATTACATCGAGCACATGAACTATTTACGGCAGGTACAGGTGGTACAATACAGCACAGCAGGTGACTGCGAGGAGGTTCCAAAACATCAAAAACCCAACTTTATTTCCTTTTTAGAGTCATCTTTGATTTTTTTTTTTTTTGATTTATAAGCCTTTGCTTGACGAAATAGAATGCACAAATGGGTTTCAGATACGTTTATATATTTACAAAAGACAGTAAAACTTCTAAAGGTGACAAAATCTATTGATACACAATAACATGGCTTACAGTTTTGATTAAACATTTTTTTAGGTATTTTAAATTTATTTATTTATTTTTTAAAAGATTATTTGTTATGTACATTATAATCATATCATTATAATCACATATTTTCAATAGTATTTTGTATAACTATAATTAAATATGGGTTTATGTTATGTTTTTAGAAAAACTATCTTTCTAATTTACCGATTAACAAATTTTATTAATATTGCAAGTCAATTTTTTTTGGTAGCATGATTGAAATATCCAGTTCAATGAAGGTCGACTGCATTTTCGAATAAGTTTTTTGGGCTGATATTTCTGTGTGTGTTTTAGTTTTCTTTTCTCAGTTCAATAGTTCAGTTTAGTTACAGTTTTTGCTTTATTTGTATGAGGCTTTGAATAACAGGCATGACCGTGACTCTTTTCTCTCTTAAACCTCTTTTCATGAATCGGCTAACACGACATTCAATTTGTCTTTTGCGGCTTTTTTTTTTGTAGAAAAGGGGAAAATGAGTTGCTCCATGGAGGCGGAAATTGTAGGGCAAGCATTTCGCAATGGACTTGCAACAAACATGTCAACAAAAATATTTTCGTTTGCTGGTCATGATTTATCGTCAACTCGACTGTTTTGACAAGAGTGATATTTCCAGACGTTTTTTATTTTGTCACTTGCAGTTGTTGCGTGAATTAAAACCTAAGTTCGCATTTGGGCGGGGTTATATGTGACTATTGGATTACCAGTTGTTGTTTGATTTAAAGGAGTTACTGGCAGTAGGGTAACAAATATAAATCAAATATGAATAAAAGAATTACACAAAGTTAAACGTTGATTTCGAAATGTTGCTGAAAAATAAAAAAAGACATCAAGTATATGAATCGAAGGAGTGGCCATGACACCTGGAATGATTTACAAAACTGTAAGCTGGATGACAATACTAAATTATTATTTGTTAATCAGGTTTATGAAAATAAAAAATGAGAGTACAGGCATTGAATCTCTTAGCATTATTTTTTTACAACATGTTTTATTATATTGGAACGCGGAATATTTTTAATACATTTTCATTAAGATTTATAAGAGCGATTATCAGATGAAGTGAATTGTAATATCTAAACGAAATTAATTAAATTCAAACATTAATCATTGTTTATTTCGTGGTATATATTTATTGAACACGATCTAAATTAATAAATCATTTCGTGCCTTCTTGCTTGTTAAGTGTACATCATGTGATTTAAAGTCCGTCACTTGAGATTTTCATGAATATAGTTCT